AGTTGTAGTAGTAGTAGTAGTAGTAGTAGTAGTAGTAGTCGTCGTAGTCGTAGTCGTAGTAGTAGTAGGAGCAGTACTGGTACTAGTACTAGTAGTAATCGTAGTACCAGTAGCAGTAGCAGTCGTAGTATGAGTAGAGAAAATAGGAATGGTAATAAGTCTAGTAGTAGTAGTAGTAGTAGTAGTAGTAGTAGTAGTAGTAGTAGCAGTACTACTCCTATATCTTTTTCTTCGATTTCCACTACTACTACTACTTCTACTACTACTACTACTTCCTAGTACCACCCACTACCACTACCACTAATAGTAGCATTACCTACTACTACTACTACTACTGCTACTACTACTACTACCACTACAACTACTACTGCTACTACTACTACTACTACTACTACTACTACTACTACTACGGCTACCACTACTACTACTACTACTACTACCACCACCACTACTACTACTACTACTACTGCTACTACTACTACTACTACTACTACTACTACTACTACTACTACTACTACTACTACTATTGCTACCACTACTATTACTGCAGCAACTACTACTACTCCTACTCCTACAACTACCACTGCTACGGCGACTACTCTTACTAACGCGACTACTAGTACCACTACGACTACGACGACGACTGTTAGTACTGCATTACTAATACTACTACTACTTCTACTACTCCTATTACTATTACTATTACTACTACTACTACTACTACTACTACTACTACTACTACTACTACTACTACTACTACTACTACTACTACTACTACTACTACGACTACTACTACTACTACTACTACTACTACTACTACTACTACTACTACTATTACTAGTACTACTACTACTATTACTACTACTACTACTACCACAACTACTACTACTACTACTACTACTACTACTACTACTCCCACTACTACTACTACTACTACTACTACTACTACTACCTACTACGTCCAACTACTACTGCTACTACTACGGCGACTACCACTACTAGTACTACTAGTAGATAGTAGTACTACTACTACTACTACTACTACAACTACAACTAACTACTACTACAACTACTATACTACAACTACGACAAACGTCCACGACGACGACGAACGACGACGACGACGACGACGGACGACGACACGACGACGACGACGGACAACGACGACGACGACGATGACGACGACGACGCCGACGACGACGACGACGACGACGACGACGACGAACGACGACGACGACGACGACGAATACTACTACTACTACTACTACTACTACTACTACTACTACTACTACTACTACTACTACTACTACTACTACTACTACTACTACTAACTACTACTACTACTACTACTACTACTACTACTACTACTACTACTACTACTACTACTACTACTACTACTACTACTACTACTACTACTACGACGGCGACGACGACGTCTTCCACTACGAGAACGGCTACGACAACGACAACTACGACTACTGCTGCTACTACTGTTGTTGCTGCTGGTACGACTACATCTCATTCCTGCCCATCCTCCTCCTCCTCTCCCATCCTCCTCCTCCTCCTCCTGCATCCCTCCCTCCATCTCCTCCTTTTCATCTTCCCGACCCAGAGATCGGAGCCTCGCTGTCTCAGTGCGTGCTCCCTCACAGCGTGCCGAAGCAGCGCTCGTTGAGCGCGTACCTCGGGCGGAAACTAAAATAGGTGACGGCATCCGAACACTACCCCCGCCAACCATCGATTCTCCCGAATCGATGGGAGGTGGAGGTGGGGTGCGGATTCTGCATTTCGCCATGTAATCGACGAATTCCAAACCCTACCCCCCCGCCCATCGAGTTGTCTGAGTCGTTGATAGGCGAGGGTCGGACTCGGATTTCGCCGCCGAAGCATGCGCGGAGGAGGGAACACGGGGAGGAGGGGGGAAAGAAAAAGAGGGTGAGAAAGAGGTTGAGGAGAAGATGTCGAAGACGAAGAAGACGCGGAGAAGGGACAGAGGGAGAGAAGGGATGGTGTGGCCCGAAGAAGGTCTCGAGTGTATGGCCAGGCCTGGGAACGGTTTGAACGGAACGCTGGGCTTGCTGATCTTGGCAAGATGTAACTCCCCCTCATCCCTTGGTCGGGCAGGGAGCGAGTTATGATCGCGCATCTTGATTTTTCTCGTTTCTCCAATCGATATACGAAACCTCTTAGACTCATGCCAGGATCATTGCTTCCAAGTGTGTCCAGATTGCTTGAAACCCACAGCTCGGCAATAGTCAGCTCCGCTTCGCTAGAAATGCGCCTTTTCCGGCCGTGCCGATGCTGGCGATTACCGCTTGGATGGCGCCATTCTGAGAACTCACCGCACCTGTGGATCTCGTTGTGCTCATCGGCGGCGAACCCGTGGGGAAGTGAGAAGGGGCGGGCCTTTTCGGAAGTCCCCTAGGCCTTCTGGAAAGTGTTCTAAGCCTTCCCCAAAGACACAGAAAACTTTTCAGAAGGCGCGAGGGCTTCTGAGAGGTCCCGCCCCGTTTGAGAGGGCCTTCTCCTTCTCACTTCCCTCCCTCGCTCGCCGCCGAGAAAGCAAGAACTTCAGCAACCAGGCGGCACGAGGCGTCAAAGCGGGTGGGAAGCTACGTGATGGCATTTGGGAGCCCTCTGGGGGTCTGAGGTGGCCCAGCCCTGGCTCAGACCAGCAGGAAGGGCGGGCAGGCTCCTTCTCACCCGCCCCCCCTCGCTTGCCTTGGGCCGCGGCAGGACCTCCTGCAGGCGGCTCCTGGACGAAAAAAAGGAAACCATGCGCAGACACGGCCAAAGAATCGCACGCCTCGTCGTCCCCAGACTGTTTTTGGCTTTCTCCGTCGTCCGGCGCGCGGCGCGCGCGGCGTGCGCCCCCGCGCGCAGACCACCTAGCCTCGAGCGAAGAGGCCCTGGGAGGCGACACTCGCCCGAGTGCAGCACCTCGAGCCTCGGAGGCCCGCTCGAGGACCCGCGCCTCGGCTCGACGCTCGATGCTCGCCCGAGTGCCGCGCGCCCTCGCGGCGCGCGGCACCCGCGCGCAGAGAGCGGCGCCGCGTCCGCCTGCGCGCCCTCGCGCGCCGCGCCCGGAGCCCCCGGGCCCTCGGGCGGCGCCGGCCTCCGAGTGGTCTGCTGCGCGCGGGAGCGGCCACCTCGGCCCCGTGCCGGGGTGCCCGCGGCCCTCCTCGGGGCAGAGCGCGGGCTCTCACCCGCGCCTCGTCCTCGATCTTCCCTGTCCTCCTCACCTCCCTCCGCCTCCTCCTCCTCCCGCCTCCCTCCTCCCTACCTCCTCCTCCTCCTCCTCCTCCTCCTCCTCCTCCTCCTCCTCTTCCGCTTCCTCCGCTCCAACCTCCCCCTCTTCCCCTTCTCCGCGCACCTCCTCCTCCTCCTCCTTCCTCCCCTCCTCCTCCACCTCCTCCTCACTCCTCCTCCTCCACCCTTCCACTCCCTCCTCCTTCCTCCCTCACTCATTCCTACTACCGTTCCTCCGCCTCCCTCCTCCTCCTCCTCCTCCTCTCCTCCTACCTCTTCCATCCTCCCCCTCCTCCTCCTCTTCCTCCTCCTCCTTCCTCCTCCTCTCCTCCTCCCTTCCTTCCTCCTCCTCCCTCCTCCCTCCTCACCTTTCCCCCCCCCACCCCCCCCCCCTCCCCCCCCCACTCCTCTCCTACCCGTCCTCCCTCCTCCTCCCTCCTCCTCCTCCTCCTCCTCCTCCTCCTCCCTCCACCCTTCTCCCTCTTCTCCTCAATCCCTCCTCCTCCTCCCCTCCTCCTCTCCGCCTTCTCCTCCTCCTCCTCCTCCTCCTCCTCCTCCTCGTCCTCGTCCTCCTCCTCCTTCTTCCCTCCTGCCCCTCCTCCTCCTCCTCCTCCTCCTCCTGCTGCCCAGCTCCTCGCCCCTGAATTTGAAAGTTGATCGACGTACACAGCGCGGCCCGCGGGGTTCGAACCATATGGGCAATCGCTGGTTTCGGGGCGCGAGCGCGGAGATTGGAGGCGGGCCCGGGGGGCGCCGCCACGTCGCGGTGGCAAAAGCCTGCGTTGGACTCCGAGGGGTGTGTGTAGGGCTCCGGCATGCTGATGTGCCCCCCCCCGTGGCGAAGGCCGGGGAGGGAGGGAGCTTCGAATTTGCATCAGGTCGGGCATGTCCTCCTACAGGGGGATTTTGGAAGAAAAGTGGGTAATAGTCAAACATACGATACAGCATAACCAGAACCACAGAAAAACTGTCCCCATGTGTTTCCCTACCTAGGCTCTGCCTGGAAAGGTTCCTACTCTCTTGGCTTAAAGGGCCGGGCAGTGGGAACCGGCCCGGGCGGTTCCCTCAGTATCCGCCCCGCGGTTCCCCCAGTTACGTCCCCTTAGCTTAGCGTTGCTTATCTCATCTTAGCTTAGCTTGTTTCATCTTAGCTCATCTTAGCTTATTTCATTCGTCGTCGTCGGTCGTCGTCGTCGTCGTCCCCCCCGCCTAGAGCAAACAAAAAAACGGATCCGTGGGCGACGCCGCCGCTGCCGCCACTGCCGCCGCTGCCACCTGCTCCTCCTCGTCATCCTCACCGTCATCCAGCTCCTGGTCCTCCTGCCCCGGATCTGTGGGTGTATTTTGTGGCGCTCGTGTGTGCCAACCACGTTGCCAGTTTAGTTTTCTGTTCGGGTAATTCGCATGGGTGTAATTCCCTACCTAGGCTCTGCCTAGAGGGCTAGCTTAGCTTAGCTTAGCTTAGCTTAGCATAGCATAGCGCAGCGCTGCATTAGCATAACATAACATAGCATAACATAGCCAATCATAGCATAGCATGGCATAGCATAGCGCAACATAGCATCGCATATCATAGCATATCATAACATAGCGCAGCTTAGCGTATCATAGCATATCATAGCATAGCTCAGCATAACACAGCGCATCATGACATATCATAGCGTAGCATATCATGTCATATCATATCATAACATAGCATATCGCAGCATAGCATAACATATCATAGCATAGCATAGCGCAGCATAGCACGGCATGGCATAGCATAGCATAGCAACTAATGCTACTTTCCTAGGGGCTCCAATTTCTAGGTAGGGTCGCACTGGGGTAATTAGTTTGGACTATTGTTGAATATTCCTCCTGTAGAGGGCAGGCCCGACTTAAAATTTGCACCACCTCCTCCTCCTCCTCCTCCTCACCACCTCCTCCTCCTCCTCCTCCTCCTCCTCCTCCTCCTCCTCCTCGGCGCGACACCACCAGGGGAAGGCTGCGAATTCGCTTGCAGCGCAGGCGGCGAGCTGGCAGGCCTCTGGAGGAGCGGCGGAGGCCCTGCTCCGACCCCTGCTCCGACTCCCGGGCATGGCACAGTGTCGACCAATCGGATGTGAGGAGAAAGAGGAGGAGGAGGAGGAGGAGGAGGAGAGGAGGAGAGAGAGAGATAGGAGGAGGAGGAGGAGGAGGAGGAGGAGGAGGAGGAGGAGGAGGAGGGAGGAGGAGGAGGAGGAGGAGGAGGAGGAGGAGGAGGAGGAAGAGGAGGAGGAGGAGGAGGAGGAGAGGAAGCAAGGAACAGGAGGAGGAGGAGGCGGGGAGGGGAGGCGGAGGCGGAGGCGGAGGCGGAGGAGGAGGAGGAGGAGGCTGAGGAGGAGGAGGCAGGAGGAGGAGGAGGAGGAGAGGAGGAGAGGAGAGGAGAGGTCAGGAAGGAGGAGGAGGTCAGGAGGAGGAGGAGGAGGATCGGAGGAGGAGGAGGAGGAGGAGGAGGAAGGAGGAGGAGGAGGAGGGAGGAGGAGGAGGGGAGGAGGAGAGGAGGAGGAGTCAGGAGGAGGAGAGGAGGAGGAGAGGAGGAGGATGAGGAGGAGAGAGGAGGAGGAGGAGGAGGAGGAGGAGGAGGCGGAAACAGGAACAGGAGATGGCGGCGGAAGCGGAGGCGGATGCGGAGAGGAGGAGGAGGAGAGGAGGATGAGGAGAGAGGAGGGAGAAGGAGGAGGAGGAGGAGGAGGAGGAGGTCGGAGGAGAGAGAGGAGGTCAGTAGGAGGAGGAGGAGGGGGAGAGGAGGAGGAGGAGGAGGAGGAGGAGAGGAGGAGGAGGAGGAGAGGAGGAGGAGAGGGAGGAGGAGAGGAGAGGAGGAGGGGAGGAGGAGGATGAGGAGGAGGATAGGGAGGGAGAGGAGGAGTAGGAGGAGGAGGAGGGGAGGAGGAGGAGGAGGATGAGGAGGAGGCGGGGAGAGAGGGAGGAGGAAGCGGAGGAGGAGGGGGAGAGGAGGAGGAGGAGGAGGAGAGGAGGAGGAGGAGGAGGAGGAGGAGGAGGAGGAGGAGGAGGAGGCGGAGGCGCAGGAGGAGGAGGCTCAGGACCTATTTTTATCCTTCACGGCGAGCGGAGCCGGAGGGGGGGCGGGGGCGCGGGACGCTTCTCGCGCCGCTCGCTCCCGGAGGCAGGGCTGGCCCCGGGGCCCAGGCTGGAGTGCGGCTCTCGGTCTGCCCGTGCAGCAGGGACGCGCGAGGCTCGCCATCACTCGGGCGCGAATATAGTAGCTCGTGCATTTCTCAGCGTCGTGCCTGCTTCTCTTTTGCCAGATGGCCCAAAGTGCTCCTCGACGGCTCTTGCCGGGGAAGAGTGTACACGCTGTGCTGCTGCTGTTGCTGCTGCTGCTGCTGCTGCCAGGACTGGGATTTCTGAAAGGCCCAGGCCACCAATTTCCTGGCCGCTTCCTGAGCGCTCTCGGGCGCTCCCGGGGGTGTTCCCCGTGGGCCTCCAGGGCTGTTGCAGCGCCCCAAACGACCCGGCAAACTTCGCGGAGCCCCCCACCAAGCGACCAAAGACGGTCAAGAAGCGCCTCTGGACGGCCCAAGAGGCCTCGAAGACGCTCCAAGAGGCCTCCAAGATAGCCCCAAGATGCAACAATCGTCCCATTCCCTGTGGACCACGTTTATTTTGCACATGTTCGCCTCTCAGGCTGTCACAGTGTCCAAGACAGCCACAGAGGCCCCCCATATCGTCCCAAGAGGCCACCAGGAGGGCTCCAAGACCACCCAGGAGGGCCCCAAGACGGCAAAAGAACCCCCCAAGACGGCTCCAGGACGGCCCCAAGAGGCCCACAGGGGGAACCCGAACGGACATTTCGAGCCGTCGGCCCCAAGACGTCCCCAGGAGGCCCCAAGAAGCCCCCGAAAGGCCGTAAGAGTCCCCCACAAGAGGCTCCCAAGAGGCCCAACAGCTGCTTCCCCAATTGGCCCCGAGAGCGATCCGAAGAGACCCCAAGACGCATCCCTGAGGACTCTGACCCACAGGTCAGGCACGGTGGCGGATGGGCCAAAGGCCATGAGATGCACACGTCCGAGCGGTGCCAAGGATAAGGATGCCAGAGTCTCGGAAGGCCACGTCGACACTCTGCGAGCGGGGCGCGGCCAGCGAAAGCGGCCAAGGATGTGCCGAAGTTGAAGGATCCAAGGGTAACTCGGCGGCGAGCGAGGAAGGGAAATGCGAAGGGCGGGCCCCCTCAGACGGCTCGGAAGTCTCCCGACCATCTGACAAGCTTTCTGAGCCTCCCCCGAGGACGCGGGCACCTCTCAGAAGGCGCGGGGGCTTCCGAGAAGTCCCGCCGCCCTCTTAGAAGGCCTCCTCCTTCTCACCTCCCCCCCTCGCTCGCCGCCGAAGAGATGGGCCGAAGGGGAAGAATGCCGCGGTAACCTTGGAAGGCTGCTCGTCCTTCCCATGCGGGTTGACTGCTGTCTTCGGCTGCACGCAAAGAGTGCCCCTTGGCAAGACGTGACCCTTGGTGCGCGGACTGAGGGGGCGCAGGGTGGCCAAGTTCGAGCGCGCATTGAGCTGCTATCGCATCGCGCTCCCTGATCCGAGGGGCCCCGATGAGCCCGCACCAGAAGGTCACTCCGGCGAAGGGTTACTCTTACAGGGCAGTTTTTTAATACATGGGATTAAATAAATACATAGGGTTTTTAAGACATGACGAATGTATGAATCAATTCATGCACGAACTCCTCGCTGTTTTTAGTACTGACTCCCTGTTTTTTTCACACATGATCCGCACGCGGAGCATGTACTGAAAACGACACGGGCAGCAGATGTCTTCGCGCCCCCCGCCGTCGACTCGGAATGCCGGCCGCCGCCGCGGCGGGCGGCCGCACGAGGGCGGGCCGGGGCCGCCGAGCAGGTCGAGGGCTCGCCCTGTGGCTGCAGGACGTGCCCAGGTGCTATTAGCTCGGGCATGTCCTCCTACAGGCGGGTTTTTGGGGGAAATGGCAGATAGTCAACACATGTCCCCAACATAGTCAAGAGATAACAAAACATCGTCCCCAGACTATTTTCAAAATTTTGAATATTTCTCCCGTAGAGGGGCCCTTCATGGGCCCCCGCCTGCGCCCTTCATGGGCTCGCCTTCCGGCGCACGGGCGTGACCTTGACCTTGATCTTGACCTTGACCTTCTCCCGTAGAGGGGCATGCCCGACATAAGGCTACCACCGACAGGCAGGGGTCTACGCCACGACAGTACACATACACAGACACCTTCCGACGAACGTTGCGTGTACCTTCCTGGAGGGCGGCGGTGTACAAAATCGCTGGCCTTCAGTTGTGATTGATACACCGCCACCCTCCCTTAGCGCCTCGGGAAAATCCATTGGAGGGTATCTGGGTATGCTTTTTTGTGGCGGAGGGTTGGCCACTTGCCCAGGGCGGGGTACCCCTTGAGCACCTCCGCGCCGGGGCCTTGGTCCACCTCGATCTGGCAGTACCTCGGAGAGCTCCCCACGATCTGGGCCGAGGCGGCGACTGACCAGCACCATGCCATCTCGGCTGACCGCTCGTACAGAGCGGGCCGTGACAAGATCGGGGGGCACGCGGGTCCCGGGCTAGGGGAGCCCGTCAAAGACCTCCCGCCAGGCCCTGGCCTCTCCCAGACTCGCCCCCACATGTTGATGCGGCGGACTTGCAATGCCGCTGACGCACTCGGAGCTGCGGCCACGGGAGACTGGCCACGAGAGTAGCAGAGGAACTGCTGCTGCAGGGCCTGGCGACCCTAACAACCGACTGCCAAACAATCGTCAACTACACCACAGTTTCTGCGATAACCTCCCGTCTGAACCCGGCGTTGGTGTGATAGATCGGAGCAGCCGTCTTGGTAGAGTTTGGCAGGAGGCACTGCGCAACTGAACTCTCGCCGTCGTGAATACGTTTTCGGCACGCAGGGGTGTGGTCACTCAACGTGCAACTTCGCGGGGATGGGCGTGGGCATGGCACGGACGCAGTCATGGCACAGGCGTGAGCATAGCCTGAGCGTGAGCACGGCATGTAGCGGCACGCTGTCCCACAGTCTTCGAAGGAAGTGCCTTCGCAGACAGTGGTCCTTCGTTTCAGGATGCACTGAAAAGCACAATCCGTGAACTCTCCGACATGCTCGCAACTACTCCACGCCTGTCCGCCGTGGTGGATTGCTTCACTTTCTACTCTCTACTTGCCTCCATGCTCTCTCTCTCTCTCGTTATGTGTCTCCTTCTTCCCTTGTCCTCTCTCTGTCTCTTTTCCTCCCTCTCTCTATATGGATACAACACATACTCAGATGTAATGCGTGTGTATATATATACAATACTGCGTGTATAAATGTACGCACTCAGACTATCTCTCTCTCTCTCTTCCTCTCTCTCGTCCCTCTCTCTCTCTCTCTTTCTTTCTTTCTCTCTCTCTCTCTCTCTCTTCACCCTACATAGCCTCTTTCTCGCCGGAAATACATGATGTATGCAGGTATGTGTGCCCCCTATCTGCTCTGCTTGCGTCGTGACGAGCTCGAGTAACTACAACTCGCCTTGGCCGTTTTGGACTCGTCTTCGGGGCCTCTTGGGCTGTCTGAGCTGCCTGAGGTGTCTGTTGAGGTTGTCTGAACATTGCGGCAACCTTTTTTGGGCCGTTTGTGGGCCCTCTTCTGCCGTCTTAACCTCGCGGGGGAAACTCTTGGGGCGTCTGCAGGCTCTCTTGGGCAATATTGGCCCCCTCTTGGGCCGGCTTGGGCTCCTCTTGAGCCCTTCTGGGCGGCGCTGTGGCGATGTTGGAAGCCTCTTGGGCTGCCTGGGTTGCTCGGACGACCAAACACGTAAGTGAGTATTCCAAAACCATAACACAGCCTGTGTAGGAATCCCTGTTGGGGCTGCCAGAAACAATCTTGGAGGCGCTCGAGCTTTCCTTGGGCCCTCTCAGGGGCCTCTTGGCGCGTATTCGTGCCCTCTTCGGGCTTTTGGGTGCTCGCCGAGAGCCCACGCACTGTCTTCACAGGCTGTGGAAGGGGCCGTGAAATCCCTGGACCCCATCCCCAGGGCCAGGCCCCGCAGTCGAGAAAGGAGGCCAGGGCCCCTATTCGCTTGTGTGCGTGATTATGCGCGCGTGCGCGTGCGCGTGTGCGCGGAATGCGTGTTTGTTTGTGTGTGTGTGTGTGTGTGTGTGTGTGTGTTTCTGTGCAACCTTACAGCCCACGCTGCCCACTGTGGATGGCATGGTGGATCTCTCGGATGGATCCCTGCCCCTTCTTCTGAGGTGCCGGCCACGCGCGTCTGCTGCTTTGCTTCTCTGGACTTTCTACGCCTTTACGCTGCGCGCGAGGCCGCGGCGCCAAAGTGTGTGTGTGTATGTGTGTTATGTGTGTGTGTGTGCGTGGAGGGGAGTGTCTGTGTGTATGTGAGTGCGTGCGTACGTGCGCACCCGCTCACGCACGCAAGGCTTCTGAACAACTCTTCCAGCGCTGTGCATCGTGCCACTGAAAGGCTGTGTATTGCGTCGCTAGAAAACTGCTCCTTGCGAGATTACAAATGAATCCATCGTGTTGCGAAAAAAATATTGGCATCGTGTTGCTATGCAATGCGTACGTGCAGTTTTGTAGTAACACGGTGCAGTGATTCCTAGTGGCACGATGCGCACACAGGTGTTTGGCCACAGAGCGCACGGCGCACATCTTTTTGGAGTCACGCGAAGCGCGGCGCTGCAATTCTTGCAGAAAGCCCGGCGACCGTGACGGTGCGGGCGAGCACGCACGCCCACGCACACGCACACGCGCGCGCGCACACGCACGCGCGCAGACTCAACGCACCCACCGCGCACGCACTCGCTCGAGCTCAATGCTCGCCACGACGCGCTGCGGGCCCACGCCGTGGGCCCACGCCGCAAAGGCCACGGTGCGATGCGCAGCGCTGCGCGGCGCCGGGCGTGAGCCGCCTGCAAAGGCCGCAGGCACCCGACGCCACCTCGAGGTGCCTCGGGGCTCCGCGCGCCCTGCGCGGCCTCGCGGCTGTGGGCCCGCGCCGCGGTCCCACGCCGCGCGGCGCCGGGCGGAGCCGCCCCGCGAGGCCACGCCGCGAGCCGACGCGTGGGGCCCCCGACGCCCTCCGGGGCCGGGCGCAGCCTGGAAGTGTTCGAGGCTGCTGGTTTTCGGCGCGGCCTCGCTGCGCGAGCCAGCGCTGCGGGGCCCACGCCGCGGGCCCACGGCCAGCGCGAGCCCGTGGCACAAGCGAGCCCGTGGTGCGGAGGAGCCCGCGATGCGGACGGGGCCCACGGTGCGGACAAGCCCACGCTGTGCACGAGCCCACGCTGGGAGCCCTCGCTACGAGGCCTCGCTGCGAGACCACGCCACGAGACCGCGCTACGAACTCACGCTGCGAACCCACGCTGCGGACTCACGCTGCGAGCCCACGCTACGAACCCACGGCACGATCCCACGCTACGAAGCCACTTGACGAACCCACGCTGCGCGCCCACGCTGCGAACCCACGCTGCGAGCGAACCAACTCTGCGAGCCCCTCGCTACGACGCAGCGTGGGCTCGTAGCGTGGGCTCGTAGCGTGGGCTCGCAGCGAGGGCTCCTTTTCCAACGCTTCAGCGAAACAGATCCCACGATTAAGCGACATCTATGCCACAATCTAGATTTGCTCTCGCACGGCATCGGAACATCAGATCAGATTGAAACTTGCGCGGGATCGGGCTGCATCGGCACAGAGTTGGAATCGGCCGCGCCATGATGTACAACATCGCCATGGAAGAATCGGGCCGCATCCGATCGGAATCTACTCGCACCGATCTGGCCGAAATGGACATCGACGCGGATCGACCGCGCTGGCATGGCCCCAGGGGGGAGGCGAAAAGCACTGGGCAGCAGGGCTGAGCCTAAACGGTGTTTTTCGTTTTCGCTTTGTTTTCGTTTTCCCTCGTTTTGTCTTCAATCCGCCTGTACCGCAGAACGAAATCGAAACGACAACGGCCCACGAAATCGCCAAAACACCGTTTAGGTCCAGCCCTGCTGGGCAGACACGGGGCCCGTGATGAGCCAGCAGAGCCTGCTGGTCCACGTGCAGCCGCAGGCGGCGACGCGCAAGGGCACGGTGCCTGCGCAGTCGCCTGCGCAAGGCAGAGCAATCCCGAGCCCGTCCGGGGGCGACACCTCAGCTGCATGCGGCTGTTGGTGCGGCCCCTGTCGAAGTCGTGGGTCCACTCCTGGGCGGGGCCGGCCGGCACGCAGGCCTCGGAGAGGCCGCGGGGCCGGGAGGTGGAGGCAGCCTGGCGCCCGGGGCGACTTGGACGAGGCCTCGCGGCGGATGGCGGGCAGGCCGGGCGGGGACCCCATGGAGCAGGGAAAGGCGAACACAATACTTAACCCCCCCACCCCGCGTGCACGCGCACGGAGGAGATGGGGAGGAGAGGCTGCGGCTGTGGAGCCAGGGTGAGCGCGATTCTCCCTCTCCTCGTCCTCCCCCCCTTTGCTGCCACGCCTCCTGTTTGCAAGAAAGAAAGAGCGAACAACCGCACGCCATTAAGCGCGCGGACAGCGGGCGAGCTGGCACAACGGAAAATACGTAGTGCAAGTTCGCAGAGGAGGGGGGGACGGATGGGATGGGAAGGCATGAGAAGGGATACAATGATCTTGACAATACTGAAACAGTCTTGCATCCCACCAAGGCGCACGGGCCATGCAATATCAAGTATCACTGTGTTTGCTGGTCTTCTCTCTTGGTGACACTGTTCACATACGTGGGCACGAACGGTCTCCACACAAGCGGGCCTGCAACTGCAATCAGGAAGGACTGCACGTTCGCAATATATACATATATACACATATACATACATACATACATATATATATGTATATATATAAGGACATACAAGTTAATACCATTCGGTTGCCCACTCATCGGGCAGCCAAAAAAAGGGTTCCAACTTGAAGGGGGTGGCGCTGTTGGAGTTTGGATACGACTCGTTGCAAGGACGCGCTCGCGTGATATGGTCACACAAATATTTCGTGACCAGAAGTGTTCTTGCCAGGGCCTTGCAGCTGCGTGTGGGCTCGAAGTATCAAGGCCAGCCAACTCATTGCGAATGAATGTCCAACTCTGCCATCGGACGCGGAAGCTGCTGTTGGGCACCCCACGTACCCTGCTTGCAGGCTCTCTTGAGTCGCCGAGCAAAGTACCGCAATGCAGCCTGCCAGCTGCAACGAATCCCAATTCAAATGGAGGATGCAATATACGTACTCGGGGCATGCAGTATGATCCGGGGGGGACTGTGCTGCCAGCATTTTGCGTGCATGCGAGTGTCGCAATGCAATGCAATGCAGTACAATTCACTGGCGCAGTACGTTTGCAACAACATTTCCCGCCTGCAACACACTTGCAATGCGTCGTCCGCGCGCGTTGCAGCTGCAACGCGCATACAGCCCTGGACAAAGCACTCCATGCCGAGCGCGCTAGCTCTTGAGACGACCACTGCCGCAACTGCAGATGTGCCGCCGAGGTCTCCGACAGCGCTCCGACACGCGAGTCTGCCGCCTGCATCATTCCTGTGCATGTCCCTGAGCATCGTTTAACCGATCCTCATCCCCGGCGGCGTGGCCTGGGCCCCACTGGCGGATTTTCCCCCTTTAGATGGGGATATAGGCCGTCCCCTTCGGGTTTCGAGGGGTGTATCCCCAGCTGGGGGGGTACTTTGGTGGGGGTCTCGAAGGAGATGGGGATGGGGATTGGGGTCGGATAAGCGATGCCGAATTCCTTTGCATGTCCCGAGGCCGTTTGCAGGCGTCCACCGCAGCGGACGGCGGAAGACCGCAGTCCATCTCGCACAGCTGTTGCGCCGCAGCGCGGCAGAGGCGGCCCGCACGCTGGCTCGGGAGAGCTGGGACACGGCATCGCTGATTATCTGAACAGGGGCCGGCCGTCCCGGCATCTCTATAGGCCTACCACGACATGTCCCTAGAACCCAAACGTGCTCCTCCGAAGCTACAGAGGGCTTCTCACTCAAAGGCCGAAGGGCTTCTGAGAGGCCCCGCCGCCTTGTGAGAAGGCCTGCCCCCTCTCACTCCCCACCGAGACTCGCCGCCAAGTGTTGTCCTTCGATCCTCCTCCCGCTCCCCCCGCCAGGTTCAGACGTTACTCAGCGCCGCGACGCACGACAGCATTGACTGAGGTGGTCATGCGAAGTTCTGGTGTTTCCCGAAGTGGCACGAAGGGGGATCGTCGGAACCCGAGATAGGGTCGAGTCGAGTGCTCCCCATCCCTCCTCCTCCTCCTCCTCCTCCTCCTCCTCCTCCTCGCCCTTCGCAGGGAGCTCCGCCAGGGGCGTGACGGTGGCGACGTGGCGCTGGCCGTCGATGTACCCCACGCCCTTGCTGTCCAGCTGGTAGGTCTCCTCCAAAGGGGCGCGGGCTGCGGGCGTCCCCGAGCGGCCCAGCGACCACGCCGTCCGCTGAGTCTGAGGCGCTTCGGGGCGATTCGGGCTTGGGGGCCGCACCGTCCGCCGAGTCGGCGGTGATTCGGGGGCGACTGGGTCTGGAAGCAACTGGGTCTGCGCATCACTGGGTCTCCCCTCGAGGCTCTCCCTTGGGGTGCCCAGGTGCGATGCCTGCTGCATCGCTGTGAGCATGGGGCTCTGAAGGGAGACACGCCTCCCAACTACAACAGACGAGCCTCTCGAGGCATCCCGCCCTGGCGGCGCCCCCTTGGGGTGCCCAAGTGCTGTGCCTGCTCCATCGCGGTGATCATGCGTGCCTTGAAGGAGACACGTCTGCGTCCCGGCGGTCTCCCATTGGAGCGCCCAAGGGCTATGCCTGGAACATTGCGCGGATCACGCGGTCCTGGAAAGGAACGCGCCCACCTCCTAACAGGGGCGAGCCGCTCGAGACATCCGTACCATGTGGGCCCGAACGGGCAAGTGTCCCACCCCCCTGTTGGCTTCCCGACATGGTGTCCATGTGCTATGCCTGCTACATCGCGAGGATCATGGAACCCTGAAGCCTGAAATAAAAAAGTTTACATACAGACAGGCCGGTCGGAAGAAGTGGGTAGAAACATGGAGCAGGAAGGAGTTGAAAACATGTTGGGTTCAGTCCGCCCCCTTGGGAGGACGGAAAAGGTGAAGCCACTCGGTCGTTGAAGTAGGAACGCGCTTAGATTAGATTAGGATCCCCAGAAACGACCGATGGGCATCTCCGGAACCAGGCGAACGGCGCGAGACGCCGGCACGATCGGTGCACGAGCGGGCCCGCGCTATTATCCCTCAGGCGCGGCTCCCCCCCCTGGGATGCCCGAGCTTTATGCCTGATGCACCGCGAGCATTCAGGGATCCTGAAAAAACACACATCTACCTCCGAGAACGAACGAACCGCTCGAGACATCCCCACCATCTAGGCGTGAACGGGCCCGTGATATAGCATCTGGCGGCTGCCCCTTGGGGTGCCCAAGTGCCATGCGCCATGCCTGCAACATCGCGATGGCCGTGGATCACTGACAAAAAGACGCGTCTGCCCCCGAAAACGTGCGAATCGCTGGAGACATCCTCGCCATCCCGGCGCGACCGGGCCCATGATATATCCCCTTGGCGGCTCCGCTTTGGGGTGCCCGGGTGCTATGCCTGTTACGTCGCGGTGATCATGGAACCCTGACGAGGCAAGCGCATGCCTCCCAAAGCAGGCCAACCGCTCGAGGCATCCACACCATCTGGGCGCGAACGGGACCGTGAGGTACTTCCTGGCGGCTTCCCCCTGTGTGCGCCCACGCGCTATGCCTGCTGTACCGCGGCCATCACGGTGTGAGAGTCTGGTTGTCAGTAGATATGAGTGCGAGCGGTCTAAGTATGAGTGGTCTGAGTGAAGGTATTTTGCTCTGCATAAGCATCTTCTGGAGAGACGGGGAAAGAGGAGGGCGAAAGGGAAAGGCGCGAAGATCATCCTACTGATCCAATCGTCGCTTTGCCCACCGCGGCCTTCAAAATGAAGCATGGAGCGATACAGTCATCCCAAGAGCGAATCAGCGCTAGGGGGGATGATGAGGAGAGGAGGAGGAGGAAGAGGAGGAGGAGGAGGAGGACGAGGAGGAGGAGGAGGACGAGGAGGAGAAGGAGGAGGAGGGTCCGTAGCCATTTTGGCTCAAGGCCAAATGCGGGATCCACATTCTTATCATTGCTACGACCGCCCTCGCGAGAGCGTCCGAGCACGAGCTGCGGAACAGGCAGCCCCCTTGCGAGAACGAGCTGCGTAACAGGCAGCCCAAGGACGACCACGACCATTACGACACCAAGTTCGCCACCAAGACCGACACCAGGAACGGCACGACCTTGCAGCCCGAAGGGGTGCCTAAGTACGTGCACCGGTGGACAACGGCCGCGCCGCCGACGACGAGTCACAACGGCCGCGCCGCCGACAACGGCCGCGCCGCCGACAACGGCCGAGCCACCAACAGAGCCACGAGAGCCACAAGCTGAACGACGAGGACCGCGAGCTGACGTACGTGAACCACAAGCAAGGCCACGAGGCCCACAAGCTGAGCCACCAGCAGAGCTAAGGGGACTACCGAGAGAAGCACAGGAGCCACCGGCTCAGACGGGTGAGCCACGCGCAGAGCTCCGAGAGCCATCGGCCGAGCCACGAGGCCCACCTGCAAAGCTACGAGGGTCGCAAGCTGAGCCTCGAGGGCCACGGGCAGAGCCACGACAGCCGCCGGCAGAGCTGCCCGGGCCCCCAGCACACCTTCGAGGACCACAAGCTGAGCTGCGAGGCCCAGAGGCAGAACTACGAGACCCACGGGCACAGCCACAAGGACTGCGAGCTCAGCTACGAGGACCACAGGCACAGCTACGAGAGCTGCAAGGACCACCTACTGAGCTACGAGGGCCAAGGGCTGGGCTACAAGGGCCACGTGCAGGGCTACGAGGACCACTGGCTGAGCTACAAGGGCCACGAGCTGAGAAGCGAGAGCCTCGGGCAGAACTGCGAGAGCCACCAGCTGGACTACAAGAGCCACGAGCAGAGCCTCGAGAGCTTCCAGCACAGCTACGAGGACCACCTGCTGAGCCTCGAGGGCAGCACCCTGAGCCACGAGGGCCGCAAGCTGTGCTCCGAGAGCCGCCGGCTGCGCTGCGCGTGCTGCCGGCGGAGCTGCGAGGGCTAGAGGTGGAGTCGCGAGATGCACCAGCGGTGCTGCCAGGGCCACCTCCTGAGCTACGAGAGCCACCAGCGGAGCCGCCGGGGCCACAAAGTGACAGGCGGGAACCTCCAGAGGAGCTGCTGGGCCACCAGCGGAGCAGCGAGGGCCACAGGCTGGGCTGCAAGGGCCACGCGCTGAGCTGCGAGGGCCTCCAGCTGAGCCTCGGGGACTTGCGGCTGAGCTCGAGAGGGCCGTCCACGACTGGTTGAGCCACCAACCTTGGCTCAAGAAAAGAAATATGGCCTGCACGGGGAGCTCACGGAAACACATCTCTGGCAACTGCTGGAGAAGAAGTGGCAAAACGCGAAGAGTAGAATGAGCACAGGCCTAATCCAGAACATCAGCGAACTGATCTGGAACAAGGCTGTTGAGAAGCTCGGCAACGACGAGGCGGAAGGGTACCGCCGCAGTCGGGAGCCCAAGGAGACCAAGCGACCGATCACCATAGGTGAGACTGTCGAGGCGAATCTCGGCAACAAGTACGTCGACTGCGTAGAAATACAGATCGACACCCTACAGACTACGGTCCGTTGGGCGGAAGGCCGAGAGCCCACGGTGGGCAGAGCTAGCATTCGGCGGGAGCCGCAGAGAGGTGAAACCATTTGTACAACGTGCTGTCGGCACAACATCGAGGGCCAGCACAGCGTTACGGACAAGCGTGCTACAAGTGCTACGCTACTGCTATGTTGCTCCCATCGTGCTTGGGGACCACATCCCAGGAATAATCTCGAGCACCCAGAGGAGTATCGAAACAGTGTCGCACGAGCATCGCCTCCCAGGGCCCGACACGTGAAGACCCTCACAAGCATCGGTGCTTTCTTGGTGCTCGACATTCTTGCTGGTGGTCAAGGCTAAAGTAGGTTGGAACATCATACAGGGAGGTTTTTACTACATTTGATTTTTATTTCATGGGATTTTACTTGTCCATGGTCGTAGACTACGAGAAATTGCATCTCCCGCGTTCGCCAGAATACGTACGATGCTTAAAGACATGTTCGAAGACTAATCCAAACGCACTGAGCTAAAACGATCGCAGACTAGGCAAAATTATCCCCTCCGCGCGCGCACAAGTCATGTATTAAAAACCTCCCTGTAACGCCTGGCGTCACTGCGAGGCGCCCGCGCGGCGCGAGGGGCCCGGTCGCCGGGAGGCACCGCTGCCACAGCTTCTGCAGCGCCCCGGGCCAGTGCGGCACGGCCGCGCCGAGGGAGCGGGGCGGGCCGTGGGCGCCTTGTGAGGGTGGAGGAGGAGGAGGATGAGGAGGAGGAGGAGGAGGAGGAGGAGGAGGAGGAGGAGGAGGAGGAGGAGGAGGAGGAGGAGGAGGAGGGGAGGAGGAGGAGGAGGAGAGGAGGAGGAGGGAGGAGGAGGAGGGAGAGGAGGGAGGAGGGAGGAGGGAGGAGGGAGGAGGGAGGAGGGAGGAGGGAGGAGGGAGGAGAGGAGGGGAGGAGGAGGAGGAGGGAGGAGGGAGGAGAGGGAGGAGGAGGAAGGAGGAGGAGGAGGAGGAGGAGGAGGAGGAGGAGGAGGAGGAGGAGGAGGAGGAGGGGAGGAGGAGGGAGGAGGAGGAGGAGGAAGGAGGAGGAGGAGGAGGAGGGAGGAGGAGGAGGAGGAGGAGAGGAGGAGGAGGAGGAGGACGAGGAGGAGGAGGAGGAGGGAGGAGGAGGAGGAGAGGAGGAGGAGGAGGAGGAGGAGGAGAGGAGGAGAGGAGGAGGAGGAGGAGGAGGAGGAGGAGGGGAGGAGGAGGAGGAGGAGGAGGAGGAGAGGAGGAGGAAGGCGGAGGAGGAGAGGAGGAGGAGGGAGGAGGAGGAGGAGGAGAAGGAGGTGGAGGACGGAGGAGGAGGAGGAGGATGCCACGTACACATCACGTACCTCACGAGCGGCCAGGCCGCCCCCCCCCCTGCGCGGCCGCCGCGGTGCGCGCGCGCCGGCGGGCAGGTCGGCATGGAGGCCTTCTGGGAGCGCCCGAAGGCGCTGCGCTGCGCAAGCAAGGAGGCGGAGGAGGCGGAGGAGGAGGAGGAGGAGGAGGAGGAGGAGGAGGGAGGAGGAGGAGGAGGAGGAGAGGAGGGAGGAGGAGGAGGAGGAGGAGGAGGAGGAGGAGGAGGAGGAGGAGGAGAGGAGGCGGAGGAGGGAGGAGGAGGAGGGAGGAGGAGGGGAGGAGGGAGGAGAGAGGAGGAGGAGGAGGAGGAGGAGGAGGAGGCGAGAGGAGGAGGAGGAGGAGGAGGAGGAGGAGGAGGAGGAGGAGGAGAGAGGAGGAGGAGGAGGAGGAGGAGGAGGAGGAGGAGGAGGAGAAAGAGGAGGAGCGGGGGGAACGGCAAAGGCGGTGTGTGTGTGTGTGTGTGTGTGTTGGGCAACGCATGTGGGCCAGAGAGAGGGAGAGAAAGAGAGAACGCAAACACACCACTGGTTCAACCCCCCTGCGGGAACCTATCACGCACCAGCGTCGCAGATGGTAGAACCAGCGGGATCCTATCACGACGCAGGCGGAATTAAGAAATAAACAGCGGAACGAAAGGGGAGACCATCCTGAGAAAAGATGTCGCGCCAACGTCCGCTGAAAGCATCAATGCCAGAGCAGAGATGCAAAGTCCGCAGGGTCGGCGAAACGTACAACAAGCACTCATCAAATACAAAGCCGTTGACCCTGCCTGCCGCCACCCCTCTGAGGGGGCTGGGGCCAACGATTGGCGGGACCACGAAGGGCAAAGCGCCCGGCAAACACGCCGCGCGTGCTTAGAGGGACGCCGGCGCCACAGGCTACCTGTCCATCGGTCGACGAGGAGGCCGATGCATGGATGTCGAGAAAACATCTCCATCGAAAGGAACATCAACCAAACCAACTAGCTATAAGACGCACGTGCAGACAGCGACCACAAAGTGAAAAACAGAAGCAAGCAAAACGCGGGAGGGAGAAGACAGCAGGAGATGGGCAACCGTGCTCTCACACTGCGCGTTCCGGCCTCTGTGGCCGGAGACCGCGTCGCGGCGCCGCGATTCGGACGAGGAGCGGAGGATCGCCCCTTCGAGGCGTCCTGTGGCAGGGGCGCCGTCGGCGACGCCGCACCTCTGGCCAGCCGAAACGCCAAACGTTCGCATGCCGAGGGGGAGGAGGGGTGGGAGGCTGACGAAGGGGGAGGAGCAGGGAGGAAGGGTGCCAAAACGCTGCGGCGCGCTGGGTCGTCGACCACGACGGGTGGATGCCTCGACAACCGAGCGCGGTCACTCAGGCGAGCCCCTGGGCATGGATAACTGACGGGCTGCGGATGCAGCCAACCACCGAATCAGATGGAAAAGGGGCGTAACGGTCTGGTCATCCAAACGTTATGAGTGGATGCTGCGCTACTCGTGGCACGCGAAGGCCGCAAAACCTTGGCTGCGCGCGCCGAGGCGGCAGGAGAAGGGAGGGGAGGGGGGAGGACGACAGCGAGACGAACGACGAGAACGAGGAAGATGAAGAGACGAACGACGACCACGACGACGACGACGAAGGAGGGAAAGCGAACGATCGTCCGCTCCAGGCGTCAGGCGGCGGGGACGTCGCCCGAGGAGCCGTTCCCCCGTGCGGCCAGGGCGCGAGTCTAAGTTACTCGCATGCCAGGGGCAGGAGGAGGAGGAGGAGGAGGAGGAGGAGGAGGAGGAGGAGGAGGAGGAGGAGGAGGAGGAGGAGAGGAGGAGGAGGAGGAGGAGGAGGAGGAGTAGGAGGAGGATGAGGACGAGGAGGAGGAGGAGGAGGAGGACGAGGAGGAGGAGGAGGACGAGGAGGAGGAGGAGGAGGAGGAGGAGGAGGAGGAGAAGGAGGACGACGAAACGAGTTTTGAGGACGACAAGGAGGCCACGGAAACGAACGAACGCTCACTCGAGGCGGAAGGCGGCAGGGTCGTCGCCCACGGAACCGCGGATCCGGCATGCTGCCGAGCATCTGCTCCGTACAACGGTGTTCAGCCACCGCGTCCCGCAAGGCCTGCCGGAGAGCCCGCAAGGCTTCCTCGGCGTCCATGGCGCCGCGCGCTCGCGCAGCGTTGATGGCTCTGTGAGCTGCACGAGCGCCCAGCGCGCCCGGCACAAAGTCTGCGTCCGGGCGACGGGCGCCATGGACACCGAGCCACCGCGCGGCGGAGACCACTCCGAGTCGACGCGACGGCGACGTGGCGTGGAAGCGGCGCACTCCGAGTCGACGCGACGGCGACGTGGCGTAGAAGCGGCGCGCGGCGCGGCCACGCGCATGCTGTCCTGCGCCGTGCCTCCGCGGCCCCGCCTGCCCACATTGCTGGCCGCCGCCCGCCGCTGGAGCCGGCGCTCCGTGCACCGCTGGCTCCACCCCTCGCTGGGCACTGCAGCGAGGACCCGAAGGGGCCAAGCCGCGCAGGCGCTGCAGGCACCTCTCGAAGCGGGTCGCAACCGTCCGCGGCAGGCCAGGCGCCGCCCCTGCGTATCCGGAAGTGCGGGTGTCCCTGGTGCCGCGCCGCCATCATCTCCCGCGCGATCGCCTGGAATGTCGCCCCGCTCCTCGCAGCAACTTCCTCGTTTCCGGCGGACGAGACGCCCTGGGCCACGAGCTCGGTGGCGCTCCAACGCTGCACTGCCGGGATGGTGGCTGAGATCCGTTGCGCCCGCAGATCGAGCCATTGCGGGAACCGCGCGCTTGCAGCCAGGGCAAGGAGCTGCGCGGCGCAAACCGCAGCTATCCCGGAACCGAGCTCTCGAAGTGGAAGACACAGAGCTGCGCGGCCTTCGGTGGGTCCTGCAGGGAGCTGCAAGTTCGCGGCATCCCATAACGCTCTTTCGGCCCCCACGCGTCCTCGGGGCATACCCAGTTGCCCGGCCCTGGCGCGGCTCTTCGCAGAGCCCAAGACTCAGCTGCGAACGCGTCAGCTGTGGTCGCCAAAACTTGCACGAGGAAAGAGACCACTGGCCACGCGTAGGCCTTGTACGTGGACGTGGCGAAGTGCAGCCGTATCTCGCCACATTGCCAGCCCCCGACGCGCTCTCGGAATTTGCTGATGGCTGCATTCCATCTACTGTTTTCATTGCCTGACCCAAAAGCAGAACTGAGTGTGAGCGTGCCTGGTGTCTGGACGGGTGGGTTTGAGTCTGATTGGGGCTGAGCTGAGCATGAGTGCATCTGAGTGCGAGTGGTTTGTCTGAGTGCATGAGCCTGAGTGTGGGCAAGTCTGTGAGTGAGTCTGAGCGTTGGCGAGTCTGAGTGCGAGAGGAGGGAGTGAAGAGGGAGGAGGTGAGGAGGAGGAGGAGGAGGAGGAGGAGGAGGAGGAGGAGGAGGAGGAGGAGGAGGAGGAGGAGGAGGAGGAGGAGGAGGATGCACCATACGAATTACTAGTAACAGCGACCCCATGCTCAGGACACGGGGCATAACCAGACACCCTGGATCCTCGCCTGAGGAGGGCTTCTGGGCCCCAAGTGTCTCGGTGGAGGCGCCTTGCTGGTCGGGCCCCAGACCACGGAGGCGCACGGCCAGCCGTGGCACTAGGATTGCAAAGTACGGACGCGAGAAAGTGCCCACAAGGTCCTGACGGCCCCCGCACCCCCACATCCTTCTCCTATGCCTGCTTCTATTCCTCCTTCCCTTACTCGTCCTTTTCCTTCTGCTGCTGCTCCTCCTCCTCCTCCCCCCCCTCCTCCTCCTCCTCCTCCTGCTCCTCCTCCAATCCATCTTCACCCTCATCCTCGTCCTCACCCTCATCCTGCTCGTCCTCCTCCTTCTCCTTCTCCTCCTCCTCCTGCTCCTCCTCCTCCTCCTCCTCCTCCTCCTCTGTTCCTTTGTTCTCCCCCCTGATCCGGCTAGAAGAAGGATGCAAGACAAGCGCGCAGCAGTCCAATACCCTTGGGCTTCCGCCCTGCAGCAATTTCAGCGGCGACAAGCCGAATACTAGGGCCGAACAGAACACACTGACGGCAAGGCACAGTGGATGAAGCACTGGCTCACTGCTGCTCTGTTGCACGCTGCCAACAAAAACCCTAGGCCAAAAACTGGGCTTTGCAACGGCCAACGTACGAGGATAGTTATTTGGCGGCGCCCGGATCCTCGCTTGGAGCCTGGACGAGCTCCCCCGTGTCACCGTCGAGGAGCTTGTAGTAATTGTATTTGGCCTCGCCATCCCCGAGGCGGAACGTCGCGTCGGCCGTCCACAAGAACTTCTTGCCACCGAGCCAGGAGCTCTGGATCCCCAAGATGATTCCAGACACCCCCATGCCCCCCAGGCTCGCGCGCGGGGGGGGGAGGAGGAGGAGGAGGAGGAGGAGGAGGAGGAGGAGGAGGAGGAGGAGGAGGAGGAGGAGGAGGAGGAGGAGGAGGAGGAGGACGAGGAGGAGGACGACGGAGGAGGACGAGGAGGAGGGAGGAGGAGGAGGAGGAGAAGGAGGACGACGAGGGGGACGAGGAGGAGGAGGAGGAGGAGGAGGAGGAGAAGGAGGAGGAGGAGAACGAGGAGGGCGGGGAAAGGGAGGAGGAGGGAGGATGATGCCCCCCTGCTCGTCGTTTCCCGACACCGAGTACGACGCCCCAGGGACGGACAAGCTCCCCCCCTTGTGCGCGGGAGGTCGTACGCCGTGCCTCTCTCTTGGGTGCCGCTGGCGACCCAGTGGGGACGGGGAGCAAGATGTGGTGTTCCCAAAAGTGAGAGCAGAAACTCCTCCCCCGTAATAAGCACCCCGACAAGCGAAGCCGTTTAGTAAACGCATCCAAGGAAGGAGCCGAACAGGGCAGGGCCGTTTAGTAAACGCCCAGGGCCGATTAGTAAACGCCAATTGTCGGGGTCGGGGTGGTTTTCCCTCCTCTGAAAAACGTGCCTTGCCTTCGGGGATTGAAGGAGTTGTCATCTCTTCTGCGGCGGAAGGCGGCGGAATGTCGGCGGAAGGCGGCGAAAGTAAAACGAGGCCGCCTCCACCAGCGGAAGGCGGGTGGAAATAACACATTCCCCCCGGGAGATGACAACACCTTTGGGCTCAGGGTTTCCGGCACCCGCCAGATGGGGAGGGGGGTTTCCGGCTTCCCTCCTCTGAGTATCGTTTAACCGATCCCCATCCCCAGCGTGGCCTGGGGCCCACTGGCCGATTTACCCCCTAGATGTGGATACAGGTTGTTCCCTTCGAGTTTCGAGGGGTGTATCCCCACTCGGGGTGGTAATTTGGCGGAGGTCTCCAAGGGGATGGGGATGAGGATTCCCTCCTCCTAATTACTCCCTCTTCGTCCTCCTCCCTTCCTCCTCCTCCTCCTCCTCCTCCTCCTCCTCCTTCTCCTCCCTCTTCGTCCTCCCCCGTCTGATTCACGGCCCTGGCGCCAAACCAGCCTCAGCTCTCGGGCCCGCCGGGGGCAGGCGCGTCGGTCCGCAAGCCGTGGTGCGCCACACGGCGGGTGGCGTCCTCCCTCCGCCATCCTCCTCCCTCCTCCTCCTTCCTTCTGCTGTCCTCCTTTTTTTGTTCTGTCCTACGGCATGCCTCAGTCATGAGTTTGGGCTGACAGAGCGAAACGCCTCGGCCAGCCTCGGAGATTCGGGCGCGCGGTGAAGTTGAAGCTGTGGTTTCCATCACCTTCCATCACCACGTCTTTTCCGTCAAGATGCCTGCCAGCCGAATTCCTCCAGTCACGGGCCCTCGTGACGGTGGGGCGCTTACGGACATAACCAAGACCTTACCCTGGAGCTGGGCACCAGAGCAGCAAACTTTGGACAAAAGAGGTGCACATCCAAAACTATGAACTCTCAGAGCATGATATAACACTCACGCAATCACCGGGCCTGCCTAAAACTGGCGTGTCGAGACGACCGTGGCGCCCTAACACCGGGCGAAGGCCGGAAGGACAACCTCGAGGACAGCCTCCGCAGCGCCAGGCTCCCCGCAGCAGTTCCCGCGGGTGCCGCCGCCCCTGCTCGGTGGAGAGAGGGGGCAGGGAAGGAGGAGCACGCTCCAGAAACTCCACGCGAGACCACAGAAGACAGCCGCACTGGGCACAGCGTTCGGATCCAGGGTTTTCCAGTCGAGTTCCTCTGGGAGCATCTGATCAAGCGGGGGGTGTCGGCGGACGGTTCTCTTGGCCCCAGCGTCACCAAGACCATTGCCCACACGACGGAAACGCTCCTCCGAGGATGAATGAAGGGGCCCAGGGAGACACAGACAAATACACACAAATCTTAGGATTCCCCATATCTTCTAATATTTGTTGGATTTTCGTCATCCCCCCAATTCCTATATGTTTCCGTACTTCCTGGGGAATCGACGATGAATGGTGTTTGTGTGTTCTGTCCCCTCCAGCCCGGGGCTGCGCAGCGGGCTTCGGTGCTGGCAATCCTTTTGCACGAGGGTCTTGCGTCGCCCGCGCATAGCCCTTCCCCCCGCCGCCGCGGAATTGGCAGCGTGGTCGACCGTTTTCAGGTGCAAGGGAACGTTCGACAACTACGTAGCCTACGTTCGTGTCGGGTGCGTCCTACTGGGCGCGGACGCCCGTGTCTTCGACGGTCCCGTCGTCCACAGAGCCATGGCGGCGGTTCGGTGGAGGGGCGACTTCGAGCCTCGCCCAATAACTTTTCATCGGGCTGTCCGTCGTGACCGCGTTCCTCGAGCAAGGCGAGCGCACAGAACGCCTTCGTCGGTTCGCCATGCTATACCTTTTCGCGTGCGCCTTCTTGCTCCGCGTGCCGAGCGAAGCCTTGCCCGCTGTCCGCGTCACATCGCCCGCAGCCCCGCCCAGGGTCCAGTCCGTCGTTTTCGTGGGTGAGTCAGAACTCACGCTGCTCCTGGCACAGCGCAAAAATCGACCAAGAGGGAGCACCCTTCATCGGCGGTGCTGGTGTTCAAAGCAGCCCGCGACGTGCCCAGTGCACAGCTTGGGCCCCTTCTTCGCCAGTCTCGCGCCTGGGGCCCCTTTTTTCGGCGGCGTTGACTCTGGGGGAGCGCTCGCGCAGCTTCGGAGCATGGCGGCAGCACTGGGTGCATTAGATGCGCGCAGACCCCTCGCGCATGACTTGCGACGCGGTCTTGCGAGAGACCTGGCGCAGAGCGGTGCCCCGCTCAGCGAAATATTGCGCGCGGGTGAATGGAGGCGCGAATCAAGCCAGCGCGTGACGCCGGTAGCGCGCGCGAGGCGGCGCGACCAGGTCCAGCGCCTTCCTATCTCACCTCGACGGAGAGGAGTTAGAAAGGAACGCAGTCATCCAGGCGGCCCGCGAGCCGTATCCCCTCAGCACACGTGCGCCTCGCGCCGCGAGGCGCACATCGACGAGTCCGATAATGGCAGCGAGCCCGAATAATTCAGGCACGACGGTACAGCGTCGCCCACAGAGCTGTACTCACGGCCAGCGCCGTCCCGTGTCTGTCACAAAGGCTGATCGCGGCCAGCATCGTCGCTTGTCTCAGTGGCGGGGGCGCTGGCCCCGCCGCAGCGCAGCTTTCGCAGCGCCCGTGGTGCATTGGGTCGTTGTGCCCGGGCAGCTGCTCGGCTGCGCAGCGGCGCGCGACGAAAGAAGTCGCGCGCGGCGTGCGCCGAGAGCGCCCGGCGCCCATCGTGGGGGTGCAGCGGCCAGGGCTGGCGGGCCTGTGGCAGCGCCCACGTCCGCCCAGGGGCCGGGAAAAAGCGCGGCGCTCCGGAGGTGGGGGGCGGCACAAAGGGCGCGGACGATTGCCCAAGCGCCGCGCGCAATGCGGCGGCGCGGCGCCCGCCAGCCACCGTGCGACCCGCGCAGGCGCATTGGCCTGGCGCGCGCGCGGGGAGGACCGCCCGCCTGCAGCGACGCTCGCTCGCAGGCGATGGATCGGCAGGGCGCGCGCGCGTTGGCGCGGGGGTGGGGGGCGCGTCCGCCCTACTGCGCGCGCTGCGCGCGCAGGTGCGACATTTGCATGGGCTTGCGCAGCGCTTTTCCCCACCCACCACCCTGGTCGTTGTGCCCGGGCAGCTGCTCGGCTGCGCAGCGGCGCGCAACGACGGAAGTCGCGCGCGGCGTGCGCCGAGAGCGCCCGGCACCCATCGTTGGGGTGCAGCGGCCAGGGCTGGCGGGCCTGTGGCAGCGCCATTTGCGCCAGCAGTCACATCAGCATCATCATCAATAGCACTATTACAACCACCAGCAGCATCATCACCATCACCAGTAGCATCAGCATCGCCACCATCATCGATGTCGTCATCGTCATCACCACCATACTCATCATCATCATCATTCATCATCGTCAGCATCATATACAACATCAACATCATCATCAACACAACCATCATCATCGCCATCACGGTCGATTATATCATCATCCTCATCATCACCGTCATCATCATGTTCATCACCATCATTATCACCAACATCGGAATCATCATCAACATCGTCATCATCACCTGCATCACCATTGTAGTCATCATCATCATCATCACCATCACCATCACCATCACCATCATCAACAACAACAACAACGTCATCACCAACAACAACATGGACGCAACACGCAACCGGTAACGTGTTGACACGGAGCTCAACACGTGTACCGAAAGCGCAGGTCTGGCGCGAGACCTTCGCCAAAACGTGGGCCAACACGTACGTGCCGAGCCAACACGCAGCGTGTTGACACGGACGCTTTGAACACGGTGCGTGTTGCGTTTCAGCACGGGCGCCACAGTCCTGAGAGATGGGGTTCTGAAGACGAGGTGCCTCAAACAGCGTTCACCCACCCAAGGACCCCTTCCTGCCCTCAGGCCCCCCTCTCTCAAGACCCCACGTTCGAGCCACCGAGCGTTGGCGGCGCGCACAAGGGGGTTTGGGGAGGCGGAAGGCATCTTAGAAGGAGGCTGCTTCTATCGGAGGCGCGCAGACATGGATTAGCGCTCCATGGATTTGGCGCGCGGTCGCCAAATCCATGGATCGGGGGAGTGCCCTCCCCAAAATGCGGCCGGTGCCGCCCCGTTCGGCGGCGGAAACCCGCGATTTCCCATGGAAGGGGGACCGGACCCGTCGCGAAGCCACGCCCCCCTTGATCCATGTTTGCGATCGCCTGCTTCTCAAGAGCCTTCCCCCTTCCCCCTATTTCCCCCCCCCTTTCTGCGCGTGGCCACGAGTGGCGGGCCAGAGGCCCCGCTGCCGGCGCGCAGCCGAACGCCGCGGCGGCCCTGCGCGCGCCAAAGAAGCGCGGGCTGCGCCGCCTGCCAGGCGCTCCCCTGGCTGGGCTCGGGGAGCCGAGCGCGCGCGGCTCGCCGCCGAGGCGGCCTGCGGTCTGGAGGCTCTTGCGAGGCGTGCCGCGGCTGCGGCCCCAGTGACGCGCTGCGCCCTGCAGGCGGATGGCGTGTCGCTCCGCTCCGCGGGGCGGGAGGTCGGGGCAAGCTGGGGACGCTGACGCCTGGGACTTGGACGTGGTTAGCGTCTCGCCGCCGAAGCATTGTCGGCCAGAACTGGCGGAGCGACAAGCTGAGCCTAAGTTCCTGACCGCGCGGCCTCCCCGTCAGAACGCTGGCAGGCGCTCGCCAAGGTAGCGGGCGCGCTCCTCTTCATCGTCGCCCCCACTGGGGGGAGAGTAATACCAGGAAGGGGAGGTCAAGATGGGCAAGGGAGGAGATGAAGGAAAGGGGGAAGGAAGATGACAGAGGAGAAGAAGGATATGGAGATGTCTCGATTCTCTTAGGGGCTGGATGAAGCGGTAGCCCCAATGCGGCCCGTACTTGCCGAAGTACCTCGCGGCGGCGAATTCGAGAAGGAACAAATGAAAGTGTGAAAAAAGAAGACGACGCATGTTGATGAGGCAATGTGAGAAGGGAGGAGGTATTCGGAATATGAGGGTTGAGAGGACGGACGGAAATAGGACGGTGCGTACAAGAGAAGAGAGAGGAGGCGGATGAGAAGCGACGAATCGGAGGAGGAGAAAGAAGAGGAGGAATGACGATGGAGCAAGGAGGAGGAAATATTAAGGATGGACGAGCCAACGAAGATGAGGTCTCCTCGTGCCGCGCCGGGCTGGGCCGTGGGCCCGCGGCGGCTCCGCAGAAGTCGAGCCCGCAATGCCCTGTTCCCATCTCCGCAGCTTCGCGTCGTCGCGGTGGTGACTCAACTGGGACATCGGTATGCTGTCCTCGTTGTCGCGGAGGCAGTCCGTGCTGTGGACGTCGTATGGCCTCCTGCTGGGCTTTCTGCGCGCGAGGTTTGGTTGAGAATCCCTCGCAACGCCGCCTCAGCTTTCTGGCGGTAGCTGGGTGCTCAGCATCACATGTGCCAGCACACCGTCGGCAGCAGTAGGTGCCCTTTTCGAGGAATGCGTCGTGACCAAGTCCAGCGTACGCAGCCAGTAGGTCTGGATCCCCTGACTGCACATCCTCTGGTCGCACACCTTGGGTGCAGAGAGTCTGGCTCTCTGTCACCCCTTCGTCCTGGCCCTCCAAAAGGCCCAGTGCCATGGCGATGCGTTGGTCGCCCGCAGGTCGCCATTGAAGCCTGGACTGTCGGAAGTGAGCCGCCGCCGTGGCCTTCCCGAGGGCAGTGGGACAGCGCCGCCTTAGTGACCCAGAACGCAGTGTCGCCAGGGACGCCTTTGTAATTGCCGACGCGGTACACACACGGCAGCGGAACTGGCCGCTGCTCGTGCAGACCATGAAGTCGTGATCATCTGGGCGACCGAAAACCACAGGTACATAATGATGTGCAAGCGGTCTCAGTACCTCTTGATCTACCCCATAGCGCCTGTACCTCACCACCCTGAGGCATGCATATGACAAGTATTGTAGAACCTGTCGATGCTGCTTCATGGCCTGGGTGAGCGCCTCAGCGAATACGTGCGCCACAGTATGTTTCGCAGCACCGAGCCTAGCGAAATAATCCGCCCAGGCATTGCCAAGCCAGTCCTGGACGTCCTGCGCCGAGGCCCCTGCCAGAAGCTGCCCCGCATCACGGCGTGCAGGGGTCCATCGGAATGCAGGAATGGATCTGCACGCCCGTTCAACTGCAACACTAAAAGTGTCCCGCCACACCCATGCGTGCTTATTTCTCCTCGTAGCAAAGGTAGGGTCCCAAGTGCTCCCTTCACCCACAAGGGATTTAAGTCCGTAAGAAGCGCGGCATGATCAGGGTGTGCCTCCAAACCCATTTTGATGGCATGCCTCTCGGCACGTCCAATCGTTTGCGCC